ATTGTTTTGCCTTCAGCATAATCAATTTTTTCAATTTCTTTTGCCAACCTAAGAAAACAAATCTTCAAGAAAATATTCAATAAAATTGGAAGACTGCATTTACATACCGTTTGTGAAAAATTTGATTGATTGTTGCACCGCTCGACAATTTATTTGTTTCAACAGATTCTTGACCGAATGCTCCAATGTCATTTTTGAAATCACTTGTAAGCTGTTGAGTAACACTGTTCAAAAAGATTTGTTCAATTCAATTTTATCCACTCGTTTCATGAATTTACTCACCTCAAAATCATATGTCTCATTTCGGTGGAATCGTTCAAATGCAGACCTTTGAATTTGCCAACCTCATCTTCAAATAATGTAATTTTCTTCCGCAGCTCATGCTCCAAATTGGGCATAGATTTTCGAATGTGTTCGGTCAATTCCCGATTCAATACCGTTTGAAGGTGTGAAGCGCCACAACGATCAGCCATGTGATTATAGGATGGACTATTCACAAAGAAATCCATTTCTGCCTTCAGTGCGGCCTGAATATCTTTTTTACCTTCAATGTCCATTTGTGAGCGATTCACAACACCGATATAGCCTCGTTGCAATGGGAACACTCGATTTTCTAAAACGTCATGAGCGTCGGTGCCCTTGTCCATCAAATCTAGTTTTGTGATCACGCCGATCGTTCGATTGCCTTCCGGATCCACCTCACGTGCCAATTTCAACGCATCCGAATTGGCCAAATCAATGTTTGCTGGGGTGACCGCCAATATTAAGCAGTTTTCTTTGCTTATATATTGGAGTATCATTGATCTGGTTTGTTCTTCAATATCAGGTGGTTGATCACCGATCGGAACTTTAGTTAATCCAGGCAAATCAACCAGTGTCAAATTCAATACATGTGGTGAAAAAATTCGCAAATTGATTGGCTCGTTAGAGATGCCTTTATTCGTACCAGTTGTACGGTCAGTTTCGGCTTTAATTTCTGCACGAATCTTATCAAAATCATCGAACAGTTTCTCTTGACAGTGTAAAAATTGACCATATTCTACAGACAGCAACAATAAAAAATCGGTTTTATTTTGAACGCGCAATGCTATTATGGACAACAATTTCTCTTACCTTTTTTTTCGTTGGTTAGCTGCAAAATTAATGGGCGTCGAGTGACGATGCCCGAGCCGCGTGGCAAAAAATCTCTATTTTTGAATCAGGAAAATGAATTAATGAAGTCATATTAACTAATGAAGTGCTTTTTATCTTCAATTTAACACTATATTAATTAACATCAGGCAAAGCTTACCTTCCGACAAAATTTTCCAAAACTGACGATTTTCCAGCGGACTGACTTCCAACCACAGCAATTTGCGGTAGATCCAATTCTAAACTGAGACCAGTTTGTGTGCAGGCATCCAGCAATCCATTTATGATTGGAATTAGATTTTCCATCCCATTATTCCCTGGAAAGGACATTTCAACTTTTATCTCAGGCTCGGGGATTTCACCTGCGTGGTATTTAACATTTATTTCTTGTCATTAATTTGTTTTCAGGGTAAATTATTGAAATTAAGCAATTGAACGCGTGAAAATGAACATAGATGGTTAAATAGTTTTTTTTTTAAATATCACATAGTAGCACTGCTTCCTCTAAATATTTTGAAAATGTTTTTAAAAAGGAAAGAATTATTATAGCACTTGAATAAAAAAAACTCACTTCTATTCTCGGTCAATCGAATCTGATTCCGCTCTAGTGAAGGAAAAATGTTTGACACGTTTGAATTGAAATTTTGTATAAAATGATTCATATTTCGATGATGTTTGAATAAATTCAACTATTTGAGCAACAAGTTGTCGTTGAAGTGATTTTTGAAACGATTTAAAAAGTAAAAGAACTTGCTGTTTCAGCGCAGACAAACAAGCACGACAGTATACGAGAAAACATCTAAATAAAATATTAAATTTGAATTCTTGCTACACTCCACAGTCTTGAGAAACTGAAGTGTATGCCACAAAAAATGCAAAGTACTGTGAAATACTTGTTCACTTCTGCCTTTTTGTTAGTGCGCGTTCACACTTTGAACGATGTAAATGAATACCAATGAAATACAGTTAATACATGTAAAAATAAAAGGATCATATTCGGCTGACTTGTATATTTTAATGTTGTGTTCAATATTTACTCAAGTAAAAGCAAATGTTTTGGACATTTTGTAGATAAAATAAGTCGCCCATAAAAATAATCAAACGTAAATATTTTCATTTCATATTTCATTGCATAAACAAATGATTGTATACGATTTCTTGAAGATAAGTATTCTTCATGACACGTACAGATTTGCATAAATAATAATGATTCGTTGAGATTGAGAATAGTAGTATATTGTTGCGTTCAAAAGTGTATATGTTTATATACACACTTACATTCGTCCATGCAACATAGGTCCCGATCGCTTTCTCCACTTGATTATTTTAGTGTATTTCTTGTACATAGCCAAATACTGTTGAATTTTCAACCAGACAGAACATGAAATGAAAAGAGAAAAGAATAAAAATGACTTCATCAAAATCTGTTCTTGTTATACCGGAAAACAATTGAGATAATTGTGACCGAGAAAAAATTGAGATTATTGCTGTCGTAAAATTAAAATGTAACAAATATTGTATATTTTGTTGCAAACAATAGGTTTCATTGTTATCAAACATATTGTCAATGCATAGATATGCAATGGGTCGAAGTTCGGTTTTTTGCACTTTGTTCGAACCACGGAAAATGAAAATTGATTATCCACAAAATGAAATGTAAAAAGTACGACCTGTTGCTTCTCGTTTTCGGATTTTTAATTATTTATTTCTATTTGCTCAATTGTAACTTTAGAAAGTTGCTAAATTAAGAGAGAGAAAAATAAATGAAACTCATCACATCGAACTGAATTGCAAGATTCAAACTTTCTCACTTCAAGCGAAATTAAAGTCCTCAGCGAGTTGGAAAAAAGTACACAGCGTTTATTTTCACTTAGAGTTTTCTTTATTTAAATCGAGAAAATACAGTGACTAATTGGAACATGGAGAAAAAAACCAAGCTTAAGAAATAAAACTTGTTTTTTATTTTTTTCACATTCATGAAGGTTTCAAGTGAGAGAAAATGAAAACGACTCAAAAATGTAACGATTCTTGCAGTTGTTTGCTGTTATAATATCGACGTGGATTGATTTGATTCTTCACGTGCACGAATTGCTTGAACGAATAATTCTATTTTCATTCATCCTTTTGTTGGCGGACATGTTCCTGATGAATATCCATTATCCATTTATGTTAAGATTTTGAATATCCATACTATGATTTTGGTTTCAAAAACGAAATATATATTATGATACCATAAAAACATGACTCCCATAAAAAATTCACATTTTTGGTGACTTTTGCATGAAAAGTGTGCCGAAAATTATTTGTATCGCAAAACTACCGTCGTATTCAGTTTTCTCGTGAATTCAAATCTACAGCAAAAGATATGTAATCAATGCATGTTTTGGATTAGGAAAAGTTCATCCCACGGATGTAAGACATTTTATTTCAGACAGTTATCAATGATTTATTAAATAAGTGTTATAAAATGTGCTAAAAAAATGTTAATTCTATGGCCAGACGACGGATTCAATCCAAGGTAATAATGAGCAATGCGCGTGTAAATGCAGGGCAATTCCGAAGCACAACCATGGCCAAAATTAACGATACCAACTACTGTGGCTTCATTCGGATCATTATTGGGGATAAGTGGACCTCCACTATCTCCTTAGAAAGCATCCCTCATAGAAAGGGACTGTCCATCTGGATCATGTGCGCAGTACTGACCGTCATTAAGGCTGTTTGATTCTTCAGTGTATCATGATTCAAATAGGTTGTGTTGCATTCACTTAATGGCATTGTATTAATCTCAATCTTAAGTAACAAATTTGATTGAGAGTTGGGATCTAAAGTTAAAAATTTAGTAATATTGAGAGAGAATAAGCTGGATTAATGCAATGTGCAGAAAAATAAAGTATTTTATACTGAAACAGTTCAACCTCCAGGAATAGTGATGCCCCAGCCGGCCACAATTAGTTTTGTAAGATTATCAATATCACCCATATCTGTGTGCAAGCATGCCGATCCAATGTTATTGTTGAATGAAATCCCATTTCTGAGTCTAAGCAATGCAATATCGTTCTTATTCGTTCTCATCGAATAATTTGGATGTCGTGTGAAATTCTGAAGAGATAAGAGAAAATAACAAGGTTAAGAAAGAGTAATGTTATACAATAAACTTCGAATATGTATTACTCACTTTTGTACTGATTTGAAAATCAAATCCTTTTAAACTCAAATGTGAATTTCAATGCGAGTGGAAAAGACAAACTTGGAAATTTTACATTTTTTTTTTGCAATTGAACCCAAGTCCATTGCTTCCAGAATAGTTTACGATTCGACGAGAATCGTTGCAATGCATTTTTGTGTGAAAAGCTTCTTTAAATGGTTCAACATTTTTCAAAAGATGTCGCTGGAGCCTTTGTAGAAATACTTTAGAATGTGTCCGTTGATGCGTAAGATCTTTGATCTCTCACATAAACAACAAACTCAAAATGTGTTTCATTTTTGAATTGAGATTATCTATAAACTTTAACCCTCCTATGAACAGAATAAAATAATAACGTAAACGTACAGAAGCGGTCCATTAAAATCATGTAGATATACCCATATTTCAGATCGTGATCGGTGTTGAACTAGTTTGACATTTCGAACTGTCACACAAAAAGAAATGTCACACAAAAGTACGAAATATACATAAAACGAAAGTGTTTTCGTAAGCAAATTGTTTACAAACAAGAAATATTTGGTTTTAATATCGAAATGGATAATCAAGTTGTAACAGCAGCCGCCGTCACTGCCGGAGCCATATTTGGAGCAATATCTCTTATCAAGGCATTTTCCAAAGATGAAAAGATTCGGGTGATAAGCAATCAAGCAGATTGTCGTCGGGGATTGAAAGAAATTTGGGAGTGAGTAAATTCAATCAATCGAATATATATATCATTAAATTACTCTGCTTTAATGTTCTCCATTTGGTCAGGCATTGCAGAGATTACCCCGTGATTGGCTTTGATTGTGAATGGACAAATATGGGAAATCAACGTCAACCGGTCGTTTTATTACAGCTCCAGTCTTACCATGGTCTTTGTCTTCTAATTCGTCTTCCCTACGTAGGAATTCTTGAAGAGCTTCAAGTTAGTGATGACTAAAAATAATTCACTGTGTGATGCCTTTTAAAATATTTTCATATTTTACAGGAATTGTTGGAGAATGAACGGATCCTAAAGGTTGGAGTTGGTGTTGATCTTGATGCAAAGTATTTGTTCGAGGATTATCGTGTTCATGTTAGGAGCACACTTGATCTTCGTTACATGGCTGTATTGGCGAAATGTGAACCTGGAAAATTGATCAAGATGTCTGAAGACTGTTTGAAATTCAAACTCTGCAAAGAATATGCATATTCGGACTGGGATGCATCGAATTTGAGTGAAAAGGCAATCGAATATGCAGCAAAAGACGTACACGCTGCCATTGAACTGTTCAAATACTTTGAAGAGCGCATTTATGACGGATGGATGCTAAGAACTTCCCGCGAACGCGTAAAATATGTCATTGACAGATTTTGTTCGAAATTTTTGAACCTATATTATAACGGAGCACAGGGTGTTCCTCACGCACTCATTCGTCAACGATTGTCAAATTAGATCCGAGAATTCGAAAATAAACAGACTCCAGACATTGAATTGACTTCGTTCTTTATGATGAATGTATGCAATTATTTTAATGTTATCGAAAATTATTATTCTGATTGTTGAAATTAAGGGAAAAATACCTTTTTCATACGTTTCATAGTATTTTCTTATTGAGAGAATTATATAATCATTATAATATTATATTTTAATTTGAAAATAACTCATTCTTATTCATTTAATCTACATTATTCTTTTTAAAACTTTTGTTTCATTCAATATCGGTTTATTATTTGCATCGAAAATGTAATTGTAATAAAACTAAATCTACTCTATTCAAATAATAAAAAGTCTTCGATATTTCTTCATATTGTAACGAATAAGTTTTAGATTAGAATTCATTGAATGATGATGTCTTAACGTCTTCTTCGGTTATTGCCAATTCAGTGTGTTGCCAATGTAAGACACTGCGTTAAATTACACAACACAAAAAAAAACTTTTTTTTGGATGCGCCTCTTTCTTCTTCTTCGTCACCTTCAGAGTCT